AATTAGGTTGCACTCTTTCTGATTTCTGAATAGAAGATAGGTCAAAAGGTCCTGAAATGTGTGGTAGAAAAAAGTTGAGAATTTGATTGGGTTTTACATAGCTACAGCCAAATGCACTTGTATGCCGTTCTCATCACATATTGGATAGGAATGGAAAGATCACTCAAAGTATTGCACTCTATACCAAAGATTTTAAAAAAGAAGTTGAAGCAAAAAAATGGTTTCATATTCAAGATCTACAAAGCGCCACGCCACCTCAGTCTTTTTTTTTTGAATTGGCGATCTACCAGATAAAAAAATATTGTTAGAAGCTCTCAAGGTACATTTATTGTGCGTGAATGCATGTCAATTAGAACGGTATGTATAGGGTAGCTAGTAAATAGCGCGAGTTTTTCTGAAACTTTGTGGGGAGGTTTCTATGCACACTACTAAATTATCCCGTGGCGGTAGTGTACTACAGAATTACGCTATATGATAGCGACTTTTTAAATTATTTTCGTATTTTCCCGCTTATGCAGGGTCTGCTGTACGAGTTAATTATCTGCAGTATTCTCGATTTAAGCATGTTGTTCGTCTATCCTAAGCTCTTTCAGGTCATCTCTGATTCTGTCCATACACCTCATCTTTGGTCTTCCCCATGGTCTTTTTCCAGCGACCTCCAGAGACATGGCCATTCTTGTAATGTGGTTCTCATCTCTTTTACTGACATGCCCGTACCGACGCAGTCGCTTTTCCTGCATTTTCTTAACCATTGGAGCAACTTTCGTCCTTGCACGAACTGTGTCATTACAGACATGATCTAGCAGGGGTTACCCAATGTCCACCATAGCATTCTTCTCTCCATGACACTAAGCTGTATTCTTCATTTCGCGTACTGGGCCAACATTCGCTGCCATACAGCGCTGTGGGACGAATCACAATACGGCATATTTGGTTTAAGTTGCCCTGGCATTCGCTTGTCGCATAGAACTCCTGCGAAGGTTCTTCATTTCATCCAGGATACGCTTGTCCTGAAAGAATTCCATCATAAAGG